TCCAAATTACGTTTCACCCAATACTTCACACAAAAAAAAGTTGAATCATATTTTAGTTCACTACTTCATAAAAGAATAATAATGTTAGTCCAATCTTCTTTTAAGTCATATAACATTAAAAAATAAAATATAGTGGTAAAAAAAAACTAAGAGATTGATAATCAAATAAAGGAGTTAGAAACTAAGAAATATTAAAAGTTATAAGAGAAGAGTTCAAAAGATTTTTCTATTGACGATGTTTTGGGAGGAAGATATGACGGCAATCAAAAATTGTAAGAGAAGAGGTCAAAGAATTTTCTTATTGAATAAACATATAAACAAATTTTATTTGTTTGCACACCGGCACACACAAACCATCAATATTTTCATTTATCTCAAACAATCAATTTGAAACCAAACATTTGCTAACTCAATTATAGTTTAAAGAAAAATTGAAAGGAGGTGGTTCAAAAATAGTTAGACAAAATAATAATTAATTCATGTCATGAGAAATTTTGAAAAATGCCACTTTGAAATGCTACTTTTCAAAAGTGTCATTTTTTCAAAATCTTTGCAAAAATACCACTTTTTAAAAATTATTTACTCATTATATCATTGATGTTTGGGTTAACTATGTTGTATTAGAGTTTAGTTTTGAAGGTTGAGGGTTTGTTGGGGGTAAAAATATTTTTTTAGGGTTTAAAATTTTAAGATTTAAACTTTAAAAATTTTACTTAGTGGCATTTTTGCAAATGTATAATCTATAATGATATTTTTGAAAAGTGGCTGATGATGTTGTTGTTAATTCAAAAACAAGTTTATATGAAAATAATAAATTCACCAAAAATCACTTACCAAAACTAAAATTTTGTAAGTTGAGCAAAACATTTTAAAGAAAATAAAATTGCTATTACAATACATAGATTAAAAATATTAGAAAACATCCCGCGTGTATACGCAGGTTATCATCTAGTATTAGTAACACTAAATAAGATGGACAACAAAAGAGATGCTAAATTTGCAAAACTCTGATGCCAATTTTATTTTTGTCGATAGAATATATGATAAAAGTGAAGTTTGTAGACATTTAAAAACTTGTGATAGATTCTCTTTTTATGCTCCTCATCGAAGATAATGAGTACACAATCGAATGTATTTGCACATTCTTGTTTCTTATAAAAAAAAATTTCCCACTAAATGATTCAATTAAAATAGCTGTTTGAATGCAATACTATGGTGTTATCCAAAGAATTAATACTATGGTGTTATCCAAAGAATTACAGTTTTTTTAAAATATCTTGTCCCACTTGATAACTATTGTTATAAAGCAAATGTATCTAATCTTTATAAAAACATGAGAATGCCTCTGGTTTTATAGTTTTAAGAATCACTACTTGAAGCAATTTTTTTTGTCATTATACTGAACATTCGCTCATAACATTAACATGCATTCTTTAAAACAAAGAATTATTTTTGTTTATTTTTGTTTATAGTTTTAAGAATCACTACTTGAAGCAAATTGCAATCACATAATATCTTGAGTCAATCTGTTTTGGGATATTAAAACGTTCTCACTTTCCATATGCAATTGAATTTGGGAGAAACTTTATTTTTACCTTACACAATTTAAAATATTATGTGATTTGAGCATAAAACAATTTTTAGTGATTTTTAAAAACATTTTTTAGGATTGCAAAAACAAGCACAAATAAAAAGAAAATTGATATGTACGTTGTGTTTGCAATTCTCCAAATGTTTTGATAACATTAATAACAACAATATCATCATGAAATTGAAATCCTTTCAACCAAGCCACAATCAACTTAATTTATCAATTTATCTGTAAATGAACAAAACGTATGACTTTCCATTATGT